AATTATATTTGTCAAGTAAAAAAAAATGATGTAATTTATTTTTGGCACATAATTTATTACATTTATGCTTATGGTTCATGTATTTCATCTATTAATCATGTATCTTGTATCTTTTCCGTTAATGTTCAATCATGTCTGGATTAATTTTGTATTTCATCTATTAATCATGGATCTTGTATTTTTTCCATTAATGCTCAATCATGTCTGGATTATTAATAAATTGCCTAGGTATTATGGTTCATGTATATGGTATTTCATCCATTAATCATGTATCTTGTATTTTTTCTATTAATGCTCAATCAGATTAATAATAAATTACCTAGGTATGTAATTTAAATATGAGTACTCTTCCATCTTTGAATTAAATTCTTATTTTGCCTAAAAATTATTTTATTAACTTTATTTTTTTGTATGAATTCAGGGCCATTGTCTAGAACTTTTAATTTATTATGCAGCTTAATTTTAGTAATTATATTCCAATGTGGGAAAGAAAAAACAAAAAGTTGTGAATACTTAGTATTTACAAACTTTACTTGTTACCTAAAACATGTCGATATGTGGATCTAAAAAAACCGTGGTGACAAACATAAATAAAAATAACATGTGAAATCCCAAAGTTTTAGATCAAGAAAAAACTTTATTAAAATTAATCATGTGATCTTTTCTTAGGATCACAAATGAAAATATATCAAAGATTACATTGAAATGGAAATAAAAAAAAAAAAAGGAATGTAATGAGTAGTATCAAAGAAATTAAACTTTATTAAAAAAAAATTCTTTTTTTTTCCCTTCCTCTTTTTATAATATGACAGAAGTGTGAAACGAAATCTCACATAGTCTAAATACGAATGTATTGAGTAGTATATGAGCCTCCTATAACAATTATGCTAAGAACGCAATATATATATATATATATATATTCTAATAACATAATGTGAATCTCACTCTTATTACAAGTATAAGACGTGAAAAATAGTGTGTTTGTAATTCTTATAAAAGTCAAAATCCAAACCCAAAACTCAAAATCTCCTAAAAAAATTGTGCTAAGAAGACGGAAGAGTTTCATAATCTGATTATGTAAAATTACTATATGCACTTAAAAAAGCTTTCTCCACCTATGTCTAAGAAAAGCTAAGTAGCCCCTGGGGTACCATTTTTGTTGTGACCTTGTGCCGATTATGGAAAGCTACAAACTCTGTGGTGTTCAGTCAGAAGGCCATCCCTACCCAGGAACTAGTGCGACAGATTCAACATGAAGCTGCAGAAATTCATTATGCCTTTCACTCAGACCACTTCACAGGTGATTATTTACATTTTAATACTAATCGGTGCCCTCCTTGTGCAGGAAAAATCAAACTCAATACCGACGGATGCTCCAAAGGCAACCCCGGTCCTGCTGGTTATGGTGGTCTGTGCAGAGATGCTCGCGGCACCTGGATCTTTGGATTCCACAGGCATTTGGAATCAGCCACGAGTGAGGAAGCTGAACTTTGGGGAATATATAGAGGCCTCACCATCATTTTGGAGAAAAGCATGAGAGATGTTTTGTTTGAAGCTGATGCAGAACAAGTGGTGATCCATATCAACTCTGCTACTCCTAGTAACTACCCCTACCGAGCACTGCTAGAGGACATCAAGTTCTTAATGCACAGGTGCAACTGTGAGGTTCGTCACATCCTCCGCGAAGGCAACCAATGTGCTGATAGACTAGCCAATATAGGCGTATCTCTTGGAGATAATCTGGTAGTGCTGGACAACCCCCCTCCTGAAATTGCTAATCTGCTTGTTGCAGATATAGTTGGCTTATCTTGTGATAGGGCTTAGGTTTGTTTAGCCCTTTGCTTCTTTGTTGCTGTTGCTTTGTTATTTCCACTGAATCAAAAAAAAGAAAAGAAAAGCTAAGTAGCCTCTTAAAGAAAGAAAGGAATAGAATAATAATGTGTGATAGTTAGACAGCTATCCCACATCGAAGATTAGAAGAATGAGAAGGCGGGAGTGGACAGCCGAGCACGATACTATAAATAATAATATCTCTCTCTCTCTTTCTTCATAACAGTTGCAAGAGAAAAGGCTTCATTTTATTCACCCAAAAAAAAAATGAAAAGGCTTCAATTCTAGAGTTAGAAATCAATGGGGAGCAGCAACAACAGGAGAGGAACAGTGGAGGTCGGAGCTGATGGGGTGGCCACCATCACCATCACCATCAACGCTCCTGTCCATTCTCTTTATGGTGCTCTGTTCATTTCTTTCGTATTTTTATATTTTTATTTTGAAAAAATTACCAATAAATCCTAAATAGAGAAAAGTTAAACCATTTGGTCCTGAGAATTTTCTTGTACACCAATTAATCCTATTTATTTAGTAAGTTTGTTTCATATGGGTTTGATTTTATTTTATATGAGAATTTATTTGATTTTATATGGTGATGTGTGTCCATTTATAAGAAGTAAATTCTGGATTTCATTTAGAATTATTAAATTGGATTACTAATTACTCTTGAAAGATATGAGTAAACAAATAAAACATCCGAGTTTATTAATTTGCATAATATACTTTTGGGAAAATTACAAAAAAGAAAAAAAATTTGAATTTTGACCTTTGTAACAAAATAAATATTAAGTTTTTAATTTTGTCAAATCAAACTTTAAACTTTTAATTTGCTTTCAATCTAATCTGTTTATCTATTTTCGTAAGATAAAACTAAAAAAAATGCTTTGGAGCTATAATTGTTGAGTTTTAAAGCCAACTCTAATGAGCTGGCAGTGTTTTGGTCTTGATTTTTTTTGTTTTGTTTTATTTTTTTTTTTCATTGTCATATTATTATCAAAATTAATGTTCTGAATCATTGTTGTAAAACTAATGAAAAAAATGATATTTTAATTATTAAACTTAACGGAAATGATATTTTAATTATTTTGCATTCAGTTACATTGACTTTAATGATTAACATGTCTTTTTTTTTTTTTTTTTTTTTTTTTTTTACTTAACGGGAATGGAAACAAATTGATAGTTTCAAAATATTAGAATTTAAATTAATAAAATTAAAAATTTAGAATTTAGTTTGTTATAATGATTAAAATTTAGAATATCTTTGATAATATTTTTTATATTTTTGTATTTCTCATTTTTTTTTTAGCAATTTCAATTGAATATGGTAAAGAAATTGAAGAGTCAAATCATTAGAAACAACCTTAGATACTTCACATAGTGGGTGTGGATGGAAACATTAAGTAATAACCCTATGGCTATACTAACCATACTATTATTTATCTGCCAAGAGTAGCTACCTAGAGCACGTGCCGTTTCTGGACGAGCATAGTGTATCTATGTGTGTGTTATAAATAGTATCCATTTATATTCAAATTGTAATTTCATTCCTCCGTCTATCTTCTTTTATTAAGATTGACGAAATTTATTGTGTGAGTTAATTATGGTATTTTTTGTCTCATTACCGTTTTTATATTTTTATCAAAATCTTGTGTAGTCTTTGCATTTTCACTAAAATTTTATTTTGATTCATTTACTTTTAATTTTCATTACCAATAGATTGATGGATTCATTGTATTGAAATATGAAAAAATTGTGAGTAGGTATTAAGAGGATGTAACCTAATTTGTCTCATGGATTTGTAGTTAAAAAATTTGTTACCTTCTTGGACTACTTGTGAATCTCCCTAGCATTGTTATAGATATTAACTAAATGGATTGACAATGAGTATTTTGTATTAGGTCCGACACTTCTCCAGTCAAGAGTGCTAAAAGGCTCATGAACCAATTCACCAGGGACGGATCCAGGATTATGACTTTGGGGGGGCCAAAGTATGTTTAACTTCTAACAAATAAAATTTGAAGTTCAATACCAATTTCTACTAACATGGAAAAAATCAATAATGTTACGATAAAATATTGAACTATATATTCCTTGTCAACATAGTTGAGTATCAAAAGATGATTATACAATTGAGAATATTTTTTTGCCCATATTCACTTACAAAAAGTAGTAACTATTTCTACATGCATTTATATACTAAAATTAGGCATCTTCAATTGAACTCGATGCCCTTTCATAATATCAAAAGCATGGATGATAGAATTTGGAGCAAAAATCCTACATGTTTTATTTTTCTTATGAACGGTTCTGATTTTGTACCCTCTGTTTTGTAAGATTTATGCTTATACATACATATGTTTGGCTTGATAATGCTTATGTGCTTGTGTTTTTTGTTTTGTAACATAAGTATTTTGCCTTTCTATTCTATCATGCTAATTCAATTCAAATTGGTAACTCCAACTACACTTGTGTTTTAATTCAGCCCACATCTACTCCGTTGAGTCTTTATTTTAACTTAAGGTGACACTCAAACACTCTTGCTTCAGTAGACTGATGCCTAAATGCAAAGTAATGACACTTTTACTTCATGTCAGTGCATAGTACTGTTCAAACCTGATAGATTTGTTCCTTAAAGTTGTATGTCAAGTAGTTTCATAAATTATTTTTTATAATGATTTACAGGATATCAACAAGATGGAGAAATCTTGATAAAATGTGGTGTTTTTTTGGGTACCCTTTTTTTTTATAATTCTTTTTAATTGTGTGTGCTTGGCTTATTTCTACAAGAAAATAAAAATCTCGTCATTTTGAGTCATGTTGTCATTCGCACTGTTGCTTGTTGACGAGCCCAATACGCTTCTTGTTCATGCAATTTAATTTAATTAAGTACTACTTGATACTTAAAAATTTTCTTCTAGATACTGTTTTCCCTTGCTTTGGGTTTGCAATAATAAATCAATTTTGCATTACTACTGTTTCTAATATAACTTGGAAGTTTGAAGAGTGACCTCCAATATCCTCCCTTTGCCTCAAGATGCCTGTAAAGGTGAGCTGCTTTTTAGCTTCAAGAAAGATGGTAAATGGGATAGAAAAATCTATTTTCAAAAAGTGATTAACCAAATGTTAATAATTATGAGATGAAAATAAAAGAGATTTTGGTTTCCAAAACCCATCATGATGGCCTCAACTGCTTCTCTCCCTCGCTTGTATACTACTTTTTGCATACAATTGAACTTAATGACATTAGCATATTACTCGCAGCATTTAAAATGATGTGCTTCGCCTCATGACAAAGGTTCATTTTAGTGATTTGACAAAAGTCTCAAAACAAACTTCTGTTAACTTTATTGTTTTCTGTTTTATTTTTAGAAATGGATAACCCTTCGCATATTCCACACACTGCCTCAGAGAGACGACGTGGTGCATTAACTAATACCAGTCGTGGCCGAGGTCGAGGTCGAGATCGTGGTCGGGGTCGAGGTCGTGGTCGGGATATCCAGAACCCCACACATCAGTTTGGTTTTGACCCACGTACACAAGATAGTCAATCTGACATGCAAGATGCTGGGGTATGACAGTATTGGTCACACATTGTTTACATTTTTTTTGAAGATGGCATGTGTTAATTATAATTGTATTTGTTCTTAATGCAGCGTATTGATCACGCATTACAGATTGCCCATCCTATCATCGAGGCGGGCCATGATGCTAGTATTCGTGAGCCAGATAGGTTATATGAGGCCATTGAGAGGATGACACGTGTTCTTCAAGGTCAACAAATTGATGAGGTTGGACCTAGTTCTATTCCACTTCGAACATACAATCGTAGGAGACGAGTAGATGATAGGTAGTTGGTTATGTGATAATCTTGTTTTGTTATTTTGTAATGGAAAACAAGTACTCTTTTGATGTTTTTGTTGGTTTGTAATGAACAAGAATTACTCTACCAATATTTTGTAACGAACAAGTATTCATGGTTTGTATTTTTGGTAATCAACAGGAAGTATTATGCTAATGCATTTAATACACCGCAATGAACAAGTACTACCATGTGCATTAAATTAACTCAAAGCTTAATCCAACTCAACTATTTAAATGCTAATCCATAAAAATATATTGCTAACTATTTAAATTGCATCACTACAACTCAACTCACATACATCATTACTCATCAAGGTTAATACAATCAAATGTCTCTCTAGTAGTTACCCCTGAATGAACAACTTCTTTAAAATGCTCAATTCGGCGACTATATGCAGTATCCCATCCAGCCGCACAAGAATGACGAAACTTGCACCAATTGGTAGTTATCGGTGGAACTGGATGACCGGTAACATGAACACCTACATTGACACAGCTATAAGTATGAGAGCGATGCAGTACAAAATGATAAATGTATTACACAAATCATAATGCTATACCTGGACAAAATGATTCCCATTAACAAACCCAATAGCAATCTCACGTTGTTGAAGTTGTGATATTGGCACTGATCGTAGAGGGAGGAAAGTAAGGCATTGTTGTGCAGATAAGTGGTACAATACCACATTATAACAAGATGCAATAAGATGACCCATGTCAGGCATAGTCATCCAACGGTGATACCCTGGATTGGGCTCAAAGTATGATAGAATATGGGTCAGCTCTTCAATCATGTCATGTGAACCATATAGATGAGTGTAATGGTTTACGTGTGTGTGCAATTTCTGTAGGAGATCACGCCTGACTTGACCCCATTCAGCCTCTGTAAGCCCCATCAAGCCAACAATGGCCCTAAACTCGCAATTTCCATCGGCATCTACATCCTTGATAAGACATATGTAAGGCTTCAATCCAACTGGAAGGGCATCAACATATGAATAAGTCGTACTTGTACGCATCCGATATACCTATTCAACATGGAAGATATCAACACATGAACAACAAAACACGTAATTTATCATAAACAAAAATGTTAGTAAAAAATGATTACATGTACCTGCTCATTGGCAGGCCGTTTTTTTATGTACTTTGACAGAATCTTGTGCGGGTGTAACGCCCTCAAAATAATAACATTAAACCCATCAATAGAGACATGAATTGGTAATAAAGATAAACATTCTTCTATTCATCAGAGTAGTTTCTTACAAAAGTATTACATGTTAACAACAAAAGCAAATGCCCTACGGGCTTACAGCTTTCCAAGTTAACACTTGGTTACAACAAAAGAGTGCTAACTCATTTACACATTAAGCCCTTGGCTTGAATATACATGTAATACATCAAAGAAATAAAACAACAAAAGTCGGAGATATAGAGCGGCAAGGCTAAACGATAAGCAACCTCGCCAACCCTATCAAGGATCTCAAAGGGACCAATAAACCGAGGGGATAACTTCCCACTCTTCCCAAACCTCATCAAACCTCGCCTAGGTGATATTTTCAAGAAGACAC